CAACTGGTGATATCATGTATACAGACTGATTACTTCGGGTAGTGCACTGTTTGTTTTCCTTCAGCGTCTCAGCAAATTTAAGAAGGATTCGGCTGACGATTGCTGAGTCTGCAGGAGCAGGGGCTTGGGAAGTCACTCTGCCATAAAACCCAGATCACAGCACAGTAATGCCGACTTTGTGGACCCTCTTCGGCCAGAGAGCCCCTGCATTTTCACGTCGGACCTCTCAGGTTAAGTGCTTAAGTGATTCCCGGTCCGGAACCCGAGACATCCCCCACGCACCAGAAGCTCAGGAGGGGCGGTGAGTGGGATAGAAAGGGGGTTGTACTCAAGAAGTACGTTTCAATTGAGGCGTCCAAATTTCTTAACCCTTATCCATTTCTCTTCTTGTAGAAGCCTGAATCATTAGATTAAGGTTTTGCAGTATGTTATACCATAATTATAAGAAGGAACCCCCCAAAACAGTATAGGTAATTCGTAATGGCCCCCCATATTACCTCAACCCAAAAACCCTCGTTTTGCTTGGCGGATCAGGCTGGCCTGGCGCGCCCGGAAGCCTAGAAGGAAAACCAGGATCACGGTCGATGCATTCCATATCTGACCTGTTTTGAAGGTTTATAGGGTTTAGGGTTTAGAGGTTTAGGGTTTAGGGGTTTAGGGGTTTAGGGTTTAGGGTTTAGGGGACCTGTTTTGAAAGTTTATAGGGTTTAGGGCCATCTGAGAACTGATCTTCCTATGCAGGGTTGGTTGCCGACATTCAGATTTTGCGGTATACGGTTTCAGGGTTGAGGTCTTGGGCTGTAGGGTTTCGGGGGGAATAATTAGCTTCAGCATTCTGCAGGTGCGAAAAGAAGGCGACAAGAAGGCTTGGGATGGACGCTTTTAGTCACTGGCGTTAGTTGTCGCTGGGCTCGACAACTATACCCACAGGGTGGAGACTCGAATGCATACCCCGAACCCAACACGGAAAACCTTGTCCAGAAGAGGGGGAAACGCTTGCAGCAGCAGCCTCTGGAGAGAAAACCTTGAAACCTACATCTCCAACGCATCACCCCAAAAGACAAGCGTCAGCAGGACATAACAAGTGCAGCCATAGCTGCTACTGTTCAGCAGATGCAGACCCAGATCTTCACGATACTCTGGGGCCTTGGCAATTCAACAGCCAGAGTGCAATGTAGGGGCCTAAGTAATTACCAGTACTATTTTGGGGGTTCCTTGTTATACATATACCTTAATATACCCCCAAACCCAATTCTGACGCGAAGATGCTTAGCGAACCGAATTCCAGTCCGCACACACCCCGAAACCCAATTCTAATTTAAGGCCCCCACATTAGAGGTTTGGGGTTTGGGGGGTTTACGGGGTTCAGGGACTGAGCCTGGTGCCCGAGCTGCCAACGGACCATGTGCAGACAAGTGGCAACGTCATCCATGTACAGCATAAAAAGAGCTAACCTCAGCTGAGATAGGTCTGAGGCGAAGCAAACCACGAGAAAAGTGTCGGAAGGTTGCAGTTGTGATTGCCTCCCTCCAGCTTTCCGGGTTCCCGAACGGCTGACAATGTCGTCTAACTAGCTCCTGGAATGCCAGGGAAGCAGCCCTGTCCAACATATGTTGGGGGATCGAAGGAAGGAAGAAAGGAAGGACGGAAGGAAGGAAGGACGACGCAATCCGACGAGCGCGCGCGCTCTCGCGCAACCTCCCTCACGGCATCGAGAGAACACACACCGATTCTTCTAGCCCCTTCAACGTCCAAGACCGCACTTGATTCGGGATGATCGGCGCGCGATCAGGAAGGACAGGTTACGGAACGAAAAAGTTGCTGAGATTCACGTGATACAGATTTACTGTATAGACACTACGGGGTCACTACAGACACTATTGCTCCCTCACACCAAACCAAAAAAGAACTTCTCTAAAGCTTGAACCCAAGAGCCCATTCATGCCCCAAAAGTCTTGCCACTCCGACTCGCCGGAGTGGACCGATTATACTGCATTATATTAAGCTGACTATGCTATACTACAGTATATTATCTGAAGGTCATGTCCACAAGAGCCCAGCCGTTGATTGCGGATGGTCGACCATGTTTGCGTTGTGAAGTATGTAGCTTCACTACCGGCTAAGACACGCCTCAGTCAAGGCGAACAAGAAACTCATCATCGCTGGTACAGCCAGAAATTGATGCCTTTTTTGCGTTGTGATCGCTACATAGCGCTCCTCGTGACATGGAGCATCTGTTCTGACAGGCTCTCTTGAATTCAGTCGTTTACTGTACTACTTGCGAGCTTTGAGAGGTTGCTTTGAATACGTGCTGTTCATGTAAGGGTACTGCTCGCTCTCTGGTCTCCTCCACAGTGTAGTTTTGGTCTGGATGATGGGGCCTGTGGCTGCTCTTACTCTTCGCATAGTCTTGGTAAGCTGAAGTGTGAGTGGTAATATGTGCTTCTGTGTCTTACTCGATTGTGGCGCATGTTTCTGCTTCAGCTCAAGCAAGTCAAAATGTAGGCTTGTCTGTTTATTCTGGAAATTCTAGCATGTCAGGAGTGCGTTCTTTCAGCACTCAGACTCTGTTGTTCTGGCTGCAAGTCGCAAAATTGTCATCCTTCTCATGTTGGTGAGGCTGTCTTGTTACTGTCGTTCGTCTTAGTTATTTCGCATGATGTGCTAGCTCCCCAGCGCATTCTTGTCGCGAGACGTGTTGCTAGTGCTAGTACTCTTGCTACGGAACGAATCCAATCCTGGCGGAAATCGAAGCTACGATGAACAACATTGAACCTGCACTTAGAGGCCCTGAAGAATGAGGCCCTGAACTCTGAACCCGAAGCAACTCCCATAAACCCTAAACCCCAAAGCAAGCCCCGGCACAGCGCCGCTGGCCCGGCAAAGAAGGAGGACCGCACAGCCACCGACCCCTCCAGTCTGCATACAGCCTCGTTTCGGTAAGTGCACTAAAGGGTCTCCTGGGCATGAGTCGGATTACCGTAGACTGTAGCCCTGAGCCTTAAGAGCCCTACAGCCTCAAGCCTTAACCCCTAAGCGCTGAAGCCTTAAGCCCGAAACCAAACAGTCAGACACAACGACCGATTGCTACGCAGCCGTTCCGGCTGTAGAGCAGGCAGTCACCGTTCCTTAAGCCCTGAGCCCTTAACCCTTAAACCCTAAAGCTCTGGCCCTTTGGTTTAGTACTACTGTAGTCTTGGCTCTAATAAAACTCATGCAATCCCTAGGCCCCCCTAATGATTTCAATTGACTTTCACTTGTGGGCCCGAAACCGCGAATTTCCGGTGGCCGGCAGTTTTAATATTAGGGGTGTGTTTAAAACTAGGGGAACGCGATTAACTGTAGTATACCAGAGCAAAAAAACTATAGTCTAACCGGTAAGGCGCCTACTCCACTTTACTTACCGTCCGGCGGGGCTCCAGAGATGACAGCTGAGTTCTCGTGCTTCCGAAAAGATGTGTGGGGTCCGTTCCGGGTTCCGAGTGAGGGGGTTTGGGGCTTGGGGGTTGAGGAGTAGGGTTTGGGGCTTAGGGGTCTAGACTTTATAGGGTCTAGGGTAAGTTTAGGGTTTAGGCTTTGGGGTTCAGGATGTAGGGTTTAGCTTCCAGATTGCCCATTAGGGAGAGGGGGGTGTTTTAATATTAGGGGGAAGCGATTATATTATAAGGAAGCATAACAGACATTGAGCGGTAGGAATGCTTCAAACACCAAATATCTCGGGTTTGTAAGTCCAGGCGTTGGCTGAACTGAAGCACAGACGTTTTCACCCCAAGCGCATGCTCCTTGCCTTGAACAGCCAGTCCTCATTGTAGTCAATCATCCTGAGCTACTACCAGGGTTTAGGGTTTAGGGGTTTACTACCAGTAAAGTGGGGGCCTGAATTGTTAGACTAGGGCTTCGGAAAAAAAACATATAAAATATGGAACTCCAAGGAACAAAGTTGCACACTTACTCGGGCGTCTACAGTTCAGAGTCTTGCAGTACTGCCACAGAAAGCAGATGCATCACATCTGTCGTTCCGATGGTTGCGATTTCTGCCAAGCATTCAAGCCACTCCCGTGGCTTGCCGTTGGGGATCCACTCCGAAAACTTCGCAAAACAGAGGTGCCCCTGGAAGAACAGTTGTGCGAATGCCGGGTTGCTGCCGAGGTTCCCCCTGTCTTCAGCTTCGTTGCCGAAGCACAGGGGCCAGATTGAGGGCAAAACAGCTGCAGGTAAAGATTTGACAGCTTTCACGGCTCACTGCGCTAGGACTGCGATATCCAGCTCACCCTTATGCTCCGGAAAACGGGATTTCAAGCCTGAGCCGTGTTTGAGAAAGCGTAGTCAAATTATTGCGATTTCGTCTGATCCATGGAAGATCCCAAACACACGCTTGCAAGGCCTCTGAGTTATTGGCCAAGAACTGACGCCTTTGATTGCATGCCATGTGTAGGAATGAGCAGCAACCACACCTTGCTTTTAGCCCTGGGAGGCCAGGCAGAAGCATGCCCCAAGCATCGTAAGCCCCCGGTAGTACACCGCGAATCTGAACCCTTGGAGCCACTTGGAGCCTCGTGCCGGTGTTGCTCAAGTCGGCTGAGGAGTTGGGAGAGAAGGTAGGCTGGCACCTGAGAACCCAGTTTGAGACGTTCCGGAGATTCGTTCTGGGATTTGAGGGCTTTCGAAGGCTTTGATTTGGTAGAGTTCTTCTGCGTGGCTAGTACGAGGGATCTGTACAGGTTTCATTCAGGTTCCGAAAACAAAGCTAAACAGCATGCTGCAGGACTGCAGGTGAAATGCGCGAAAGGGGTGCTGCTAGTAATAGTCCCTGTGTGACTTTAGTCTTATCGTATAGTGTACCCAAGCGTTTTATTCTAATCCTTATTTACGTTACTGCCGCCAGGAAGGTGGCCTCACAGGTCCTGCAACATGGCCCAAAGAACAATCCGAAGTTCCAGCTACGAGTACCTTTGATCGTCGCGACGCCTCTTCCTCGCGATGGGGGCGGTTTATAGCTGATGATAGCTGCGACTTTCGCGGCTGCATCAAGTCAAAGCGTGCCTTCACAAGCTTTGTCGCCTCTTCGGCAGAGAGACCTCGACGTGGCTTTCACGTCGTTCCGGTCAGCCGTCCTAGACCCTAATCAAACGCTGGGCTGCAACGGAGATCAATCCGTCAGCCAACGTCCTGGAGGAGCAACAGGGCTGTTGTGCACCTTACGCCTTAAGACGAGCGCAGGAACGGCCGTGCTGCTCAAATTTTCCAAGAGTTTTCCAAGACATACCGAACTGCCAGCCGACAAGATTCGCTCCTGGCGGACAGGAAACGGTCAGATCGGGGTTTTTAGCAAAGCCTCAGGCAGAAAACCCTCCAAGTTCACAACAGAATCGATGTCCGGACCGCAAACTTCGGAGGAGTCTGCACACAGCTTCTGTAAAGCGGTCGGGTTTCTTAGCACCCAGTTGCAAATCACGGAAATGAAAGATACAACAGATGTCCAACAGAAGCTGAAGGCTATTTGTACAGCACAATGATGCACGATGCCTATGGGATGTTAGCATGAACGCTGGTGAATGCCGCCTCAAGGGAACAACATGTTACGGTCGCATCATTAAGACAGGTGCTCTCGTGCTGTTCGTCCTCGTGCACTGTCGCCGTTGCCAGAGTACTTAACTAATCGGCCAACCGCTCGTGCACTACTGATGCTGTTCAGGTCCCGATGTAACAAGAAAGCGTATCTGGCACAGCGCAGCAGAAGGCGGTGGCTCTTTAAAGACGAGGATAAATAAAACCTCGTAGCTAAACACAAGACGATATACTTGGAAAGGGAAAGAACATTGCTGCATGGCTCCTGACGACGCGATGTCAGACGAAAGCTGCGACTGTAGTCTCAAGCTGACGGACAACTAAGAGGCTACCTGTAAATTAGCCGGCGGATGATCAATGCTTGGAGAGAGAACTACGTCTGCTGAAAGCAGAGACGGGCAGCACACGTCTAACAACGCCGTGAGACTGCCATGCCAAACAGGCAGAAGTGAGGCAGATGTACCGCCGCTACTGGCTACCTCTGAATTCGGTGCTCTATGGCTTCGCCAACCAGCTCGACTGACACGTAATAATTAGACTAGGGTTTTGGGAACGATTATACTTGATTTATTATGACACCATTGGTTATTGTTTAGGCTCCTATACTATGTGACAAGCCATGCAATCACCACACAACTACCATCCAAGAAATCGAGCGTTTCATCCCCTCTAGTTTGACTTGTGACTTGTCAGTCAAACCAAACCGCTTCTGTAGCTTTGCTTGCAATGCTTAGTCTAACATATCTGAGGGGGTAATGTTGGCTCCTGATTAGTAAACCCCCCCCCAAACATCCAGAATCC